CAGGTGGGTCTCGAACCCGCAGGCTCAGGCAATCCATTCACCTCAGCCTCCCAAAGGCGCGGGATTACAGGCTGAGCCACCGAGCCCGGCTTATCCTCTCACTTCTTACTAGGAGGAGCTTAGAAAACAAATGCACATTAAAAGAATGGTTCTAGAAAATTCCATTGCCGGGCTCGGTGGCTCAGCCTGTAATCCCACACCTTTGGGAGGCTGAGGTGAATGGATTGCCTGAGCCCGCGGGTTCGAGACCCGCCTGGGCAACGAGACCTCATCTCTACAGTAAATAAAAAAATCAGCTGGGTGTGGTAGCACATGCCTGTAATTCTGGCTACTTGGAAGACTGAGGCAGAAGGATCGCCAGAGCCCAGCAGTTCGAGGCTGAGGTGGCTGGGAGCAGCCACTGCACTCCAGTCTGGGTGACAAAGTGAGACTCCAACTCAAAAAAAAAAAAGAAGTGAGAGGATATACAGTTCAAACACTCAGTGTTCTTGCTTTGGCAGCATCCATATTTGTATTGAAGTTACTGGTCTGTTCAGGTGTAGTAAAGCTTGTCAAGAAAAACAATGGTGGCTCAAGCCTGTAATCCCAGCACTTTGGGAGGCCGAAGCAAGAGGATTGCCTGAGCCTAGGGGTTCGAGACCAGCCTGGCAACTTAGCGAGACCTCGTCTCTACAATTTAAAAAAAATGAAAAAAATAGCTGGATGAGTAGCACGTGCCTATACTTCCAGCTACTTAGAAGGCTGAGGCGAAAGGATCGCCGGAGCCCAGCAGGTTGAGGCTGCGGTGGCCAGGAGTGTGCCACTGTACTCCAGCCTGGGCGACAGAGTGAGACTCCGACTCAAAAAAAGAAAAAAAACAACAGGCCGCTGTCTCCATAGAAGCCACTTACAACTCTCAGCCAGCCCTGTATGCTTATGGTGTCTGCTCTTCCTCCAGCCATGTGTAGTGTCGCATCCTGAGTCTGTTTTGCTCGCCCTTTATTTGGAGTCATCTGCATACCTGAGGACTTGCCTCATTCCCCCTCTAACATTCATGCGCACATTCTCTTGTCAGCCTCACTCTCCCATGAAGTTGAACTTACTTTGAGGGGGTGTTTCAGCCTCTGTTACTTTGGGGACAGCAGCCTAGAGGTTTCCTTTGCCTTTTTCATCTGCCAAGTCCATCACTACTACTCTGTGTGCCTTTTGGCATCTAAGCTGTTGTAGTTGTCTTCTTATTTTTTGCCCTTGTAGGTTTATCCCTTTCTGGAAAATGTTTTCTGTCACTTTTATGGTATTTCAGGAAGTGGCAGAACCAGTATGTGTGTTTGGATCTCCCTCCTTAGCCAAATGTCCAGGGAGATGCACTTCAACCTGCCTTCCTGTCGTGCCTGTCCCTTGCCTGGGACTGTAGACTTGCAGGGTGCCTCACGCCTTCCCCAGGGCCACCTCCTGGGACAAACTTGGGCCAACTCCACACCTTGCTTTCTGTGGGTCCCTGCTGGTTTATTCGGGTGGCTTTTCCTCAGGCTGTCTGCTGCTGCAGGTATGCTGCCTGTCTCCTGTCCCATTGCTCTCCAGAGTAAGCACATAGGCATTTTGACATTTTAAAGAGCTTTTTCTTCTGGGGAATTGACTTTTGTCGAGCTTAAGTGTTTCTGGCCACAGATCCTGGTTTGTACTGCAACTACCTTGGTCAATACATTATACAAAATCCTTTGCAGCCAGGCCCAGCGGCTCCCGCCTGTGATCCTAGCACTCTGGGAGGCGGAGGAGAGCGGAGTTCGAGACCAGCCTGAGCAACACGGCAAGGCCTCGCCTCTGTCACAAGCTGTAAACTCAGCCCGGGGGGGGGGGGGGGGGGGGGGGCACGTGCCTGTGGTTCTGGCTACCTGGAAACTGAGGCGGAGGGTCCCCTGGGCCCGGCAGGTCGAGGCTGCTGTGACTGTGAGAGAGTGCCACTGCACTCCAGCTCGGGCGACAGAATGAGACTCCAACTCGAAAGAAAGAAGGACTTCGCAGTTGCGTTAGCATAAATAAGTGGAAGGCCACATGAACTGTGAGAAAGCAGGATTTATTGAGAGGACAGAAAAGCTCCCACAATGGGAGGGGCCCTGAGGGGTCGCCCCACACTAACACTTGCTGTTTTCAACCTCAAAATGAGGGAATAGAACCTATGTTCCTTCATCTGCCACCCAAACCCTTTGTCTGGAAGCTTGCTCCAGTTCCCTCTCCCGCACTCCTTGTTTCTGCCCCGTGGTGCCTGGGGCCCTGGGCCCTCAGCCCCTGGGAGGACTTCTAAGCCCCCCGCAAGGCTGCAGCTCTGCCCGGCACGCCCGCTTCCTCCGAACTGGCACAGCCTCCCTCCCCAGAAGCGCCCAGGTCCTCCTGTGTGCGCCCAGCATGCTCTGCTCCTGCTGCTGCAGTGGCCACTGCCCGCGCCCCGCCTGCATCCCCGACTTGCCCGGCACAGGCCCCTGCTGCGCTGTTGCTCTTCGTGACGGGGCCTGTGTGTCTTGGCCGGAGGGACTCCCTACCTTGTTTGCCTTGGAAGTTGGAAGCACCTAGGGATTGATATCACTGCCCCCCAGCCCCCAAAACAACGGTGAGTGAGTGGGGGAGCATTAATAGGCACGCCCCTGATGGGGCAACTGCCCCCAGAACCAAGTGCCCTGTGGGACTGTGCTTGTCACACCATGCTTGGCCTCCTGCCAGGTCCCGACGCCCTTAGGTCCTTTCCCTGTTTTCCTCTGTGTGCGTCGCTGGTACATCTTCATGCGGACCCCAACTGAAATGCTGACTTGGCATTCACCACTTGTTAAGATTCTCCATCTCATCTGCACTGAGGTGGTTGAACAAAATGGGAATGGGCTCGTTGGGGTGGTTTGAGAATTGCTCATTGAAGCGACTTTGCTTTCTCAGGTTTTTGCACACCGGTGCTCGAAAGGGGGATGCAAGAAGAGAGAGATGCTGCAGGTGGCTTGTGCCCAGTGTTATGGCAACTTCTGTATTCAGCATAGACACCCTTTGGACCACAGCTGCAGACATGCGAGTCGCCCCACCAGCAATGCTGGGTGAGCAGAGACGCTTAGCTAGCTATGACGGAGCTAACTCAGAACACACAGCGACATTGGTAGAGCCCGCTTCACACTAGGGTGGAGGGTGGAACAGCCTCAAGCCTTGTTCTGTACAAAGTTGCTGATCTAGAAGTTGGAGTGAAGATAATAAAATTGAAATCTAAGTTAAAGTTGGATTCTCGTATTTGTTTTCTGTGGCTCCTGTAATATAATACTACAAACTGTGTGGCTTAAGCAGCAGAAATTATTTCATGGTTCTGGAGGCTGGAAGTCTCAGATGAAGGTGTCAGCAAGGCTGACAAGCAGAGCTGTCCAGCGTCTTATGGTGTGCCAGCAATCTTGAGTTTCTTTTGGCTTGTAGACCATCACCCCATCTCTGCCTTTACCTGGTACTATGTGTGTGTGTGTGTGTGTGTGTGTGTGTCTTCCCGTCCTAACTTCCCCCTTTAATAAGGACACTAGTCATGTAGTCCCACACTAATGACCTCTTCTCTTTTTTTGTTTATGGTTTTTTTTTTTAATTGTTTTTTGAGTCGAGGTTTCACTTTTACCCATGCTGGAGTGCAATGGCATGATCTTGGCTCTCCACAGCCTCCAACTCTTGGGCTTAAGTGATTTTCCTGCATTTGCCTCCCAAGTAGCTGAAACTACAGGTGTACCACCATATCCAGCTAATTTTTTTTGCATTTTTTTGCAGAGATGAGGTCTCACTATGTTCCCCAGGCTGATCTCAAACTCAAGTAGTCCTCTTGCCACAGTCTCCCAAAGTGCTGAGATTATAAACATGAGCTACTGTGTCTGGCCATCAAGTCCTTATCTTGATTACTTTTGTAAAGACTGTCTCCACATAAGGTCACGTTCCGAGATAGTGGAATTTAGGACTTCAGCATGTCTTTTTAGGGGGACGTGATTCAACCCATAACACTAATACCTTTGTCAGATCGGTAGAAACATTTGCCTAAACTGGCTGTTGAATAAAATTGGAGGCACACATAATTTGACTTGCATTTTGCTGTTTCTTATGTTGTCCATCCCTGAAGTGGGCTGTGGGTTACTACCTCACTTGCATGCACCTCTGTGGGCTTTCTTGGCAAGCACGTGAATACCAGTCTCACCTTTCTGTGTAGGTGCTCATCGATGAGAGCTCTGGAATTGGAGCCATCAGGAGCTGTAAATGCCCTGTCTTCTTGGTGGCTAACCCGGCAATTCAGGTAATTGACTTGTAGCACGTGTGAATCATTCCTTGTGTATTGGGAGCAGCATCACTTTGTCAGTCGTGAATGTTGAGAAGTAACTGTAGTACGGGGTAATGGCTGTGAGGTGACCTGCTCCAGCACATGAAGGAGCATGTCATAAAGGAGACACAGGACTAGAAAGGCAAGTTATAAATGCTTCTCATTCCAGCACCCCTTCTGATTGAGCAGTAACATTTTATAGCTGGTTTCTCAGATACCTTATTTGCCCTCTGAGATCCTTTGGTATCATCAGCCACTTCTCGGTAATCAAGACAAACCTGAAAAAAACAAACTCTTCTCTTTGTTTTCTTCTAGGTGGAAAGCAAAGCGGTGACATGACTTTTCTGTTCGTGCTGGCATGTTAACTGCTGTGTGGGTTACTGCAACTTCATGGATAACTTGCACACTCCAGTGCCTTCATGCTTCTCAAGGCAAACAATCTGAAACGTGTAAATTTTTCCAATGAAATAAAAAAACTGTTTGGCAAAATAAACAGAAGGATATTAAGTCCTATACGGTGAAGTAAAGTTGCTTAAAAACAAAGGGTTCAAGTGAGCCAGGTCAGAGGATAGCTGTGCAAAGAGTTCAAGGGGGCCAGTTCAGGGTGGCTGTGCCCTGGGCTGAGTCAGTCAAGGACCCGGTCTTCTGGCAGTTTGTCACTGAAACACCAGACAGTGGACCGTAGATGTCTTTACCACATGGTTTCGGTAATGACGTGGCTGTCTGAGCCCAGGGAAGGTGGAAGGCCTTCCAGCTTCTTCGTGCAGGGTCTTTCGCCAGAGGTGGCCACAGCCCTCTCCTCAGTCCCTGAGATTACGCAGTCATGAGCCCATTCATGGCTCCTAGGGGCTGGGCTCCACTGTGGGAAAGAGAGGTGTATTTTGCTGGATTGCTGGTTGTCCCTAGCACAGCAGCTTCTTCAGACAGGCACAATTGTCAGTAACAAGCTAGCCCGTGAGACAGCTTTGTTGTGCTTGGATGTGATTTCAGCACCACGAAGAAAATCATAGAGTGTCACTTGTTCAAGACAAAGGTCTGTCTGGTGTTGAGATGATAGGAACTTCCAGAAGAGTGCTAGAGGTTATAGGGTTTGAAGAGCAGGAAACCCAAACCAGGGAGTGGAGAGGTTAGCTGGGGTGTGGTCCACAGCCCTTCATGGGTTGGGTGATGAGCAAGGACACCCCTTGTGACCTGGTGCTGTTTCCGTGACGCAAGGAGCATGTTGTAGGAACGGAAGTCAGAGAAATGCTGGAGCAGGAGCTGTGCCTACAGCCTCTGCATGCCAAGGGCGCTGCCACTCCCTGGGGCCTTGGGTGGCAGAAAGCAAGGCGAGACCAAGTGCCATGTGAGTGCTGGTCTTTGCTCCCCTGGCGATCCAGCAATGCATTTCAGAGGTGCTACTGAGATGGTCAACAAAAACCCAAGAAACTACATACTTTTTAACACTTATAGGTTAGGGTACATTATTTCAATATATACATATACAATGTGTAATGATCAAATCAGAGCAATTAACACATCATCACCTCAAACGTGCCATTTCTTTGCATTGGGAACATTCAAAATCCACTCTATTTGAAAACATACACTCGAATGATAATTACAGGTCAGTAGCAGGTCCCCTTGTACAGTTTCCCCACATCCTCACTGTTTTCATTGGTGTGGTTTTTTTCCTGTCTGGTGGAAAAACAGCACTACAGAGCTAGTGCATCTTTCACAAGCAAGGTGAGCATCTTCCCAGTAAGTACCCCTTGGAAAAATTAAGTTAAGAGGTCAGCTGGTATAGGCACCATGGAGCTGTTCACAGTGGGGTATGTGGCAGGATGCCAAGGGACAGGGAAGCCACAACTATTTTTTTAATTATTTTTTTTTTGAGTTGGAGTCTCACTCTGTCACCCAAACTGAAGTGCAGTGGCCGCTCCCAGCCACCGCCACCTCTACCTGCTGGGCTCCGGCGATCCTTCCGCCTCAGCCTTCCAAGTAGCTGGAACTACAGATGCGCGCTACCACACCCGGCTCATTTTTGATTTATTGTAGAGATGAGGTCTCATCAAGTTGCCCAGGCAGGTCTCAAACCCGCAGGCTCAAGCAATCCACTCACCTCAGCCTCCCAAAGGCTTTAATTTATTTTAATTAAAATTTTTTTTTTTGAGTTGGAGTCTCACTCTATCACCCAGGCTGGGTATGATCACAGCTCACCGCATTCTCAGACTCCTGGGCTCAAGCAATCCTCCTGACTCAGCCCCCTGAGTAGCTGGAGTGACAGATGCACACCATCACACCCGGCTAATTTTTTTCAGTAATGCAGAGACAGTATCTGGTTGTGTTATCCAGGCTGGTCTCAAACTCTTGGCCTCAAGGGATCCTCTCACCTTGGCCTCACAAAGCACTGGGATTATAGGCGTGAGCCATGACACTTGGCCTGAAGTCAACCTTTTGAGGTCATCAACCTTTCCTTTTCAGAAGCAGATTTGGATCTGAGGCTCATGTGGGAGGGAGAGCAGATGGGTGTTCATAGATGTTGAATATTTTCTCTGCCTGGGTTGGACAGATCGCTACCATTTGCTTGAAGCCTTAAGTCTCCACCACACCTGCCTGCGGCAAGTAGATATCCCTGCCTTGGTTCTCCTTTTTCTGGAACAACCAGTCGTTTCTGGGTAGGGCCCAAAGGGGGTTGTCATGCCCTGTGTCCTTGTCGAGATGAGCGTGGAAGGACTGGTTGCTACTTGCCATTTTGCTGTATGGCCTGCAGTAGCGAACATTTGCACAAGATGTCCCCAGGAGGCCTTTGTCTGGATCGGGGAGGGCTGACAGTATTGAATATTCCTGGTGAGAAATTAGATACAGTGTCACAGGAAGAACGGATATAGCCAGCCCATCAATCCTAACTCCGTTTTTGTAGGTTAACAATGTTAAAAGGGTTTGGGGATATTTTAAGTGTATTGTTAATTAACCTTTCAAATTTATTCTTTGAAATAAGCCTAAGACCACACTTGAAAGATCAGTTCTGAAATGAGTTCCCAAAATAGGTCAGTAGCTGAAATGTCCTTAGTTTTCTGAGTTTTAACTTGAGAATCAGGATCTTTGGCATGTCCTGGGGATGTTGGCTTCTTTGCTTGGTCATGTCTGACGTTTTTGCAGATAAACACTGTTTTGTCCTATTTTGCTGAAACGATATTAAAATTTATAATCCCAGTTAGTTATACAAGGTGAGTAAAGCCAAGAAGACAGTGTTTAGGCCGCTGTGTTAGTTAAATGTTGTCTAGAGAGATTGTTGACTGTTTTTTATTTATTTACTTATTTATTTTTGGTAGAGACCGCCCAGGCTAGTCTGAAATCCCTGGCCTCAAGCAATCCTCCTGCTTAGGACTCCCAAAATGCTGGGATAACAGGCATGAGCCACCATGCCCGGCCTGTTTTTCATTCCTTTTGTTTGAGGGTGTTGTCTTTCCATTTCTGCCTCTCCACTATTAGGACATGGGGAGGGGGAAGCTCTACTAACATCACACTTGTAGAAGGCTTATACCATCCTGGGCCACATTATGAGGTCTTCTCAGAATACATGGAAAGCTAGGTTTCTTGCAATAGATGCTACAAAAAATAAACCATGCCAACAGACAAGCAGGTCCTTAATTTGACATTATGGAGGTTTCATTCCACATTAAAGCTACTTTTGTATATGGTTTTGGGTGGCTGAATCTTTAAGAGAAGAATAAAGTAAAATGACAGTCCTTTGGGAAGAGGGTATTAATGGACCAGTGTTTCCCTGTTCTGGTTTTATATAAACATTCCCTGGAGAACAAGAGTAATTAGACATGGTACTGTTTCTATAGCAACCTGCAGAAGCTTATGAAATTCTACAGGCAGGATGAAATTAGCTCTATGACTGCCATTCACAGTGCTGAGCTGTGGGGTCAGTTGCAGGGGTGATTTTGGTCTGTCATTTAGCTGAGTTTGTTCCATCAGTACTTCTGTGCTTTATGTCACATGAAGCAGCATGGCATGCCATCTTTGAGTCTGTTCTTTTGGAGCCATGCCTATGTTTTTGTTTGTTTTGTTTTTTGAGTGGAGTCTCACTGTCACCCAGGAGGGGCTCAGGCAGTCCTTCCACCTCAGCCTTCCAAGTAGTTGGAATGACAGGCGTGTGCCACCACACCTGGCTAATTTTTTGAATTACTGTAGAGACGAGGTACTGCCAAGTTGCCCAAGCTGGGTCTCAAATCCCAGGTCCTCTTGCCTGTGCCTCCCAAAGTGGTGGGATTACAGGCGTGAGCCACCGTGCCTGGCTGAGATGGGTATACTTAATAGC